ACACTGTCATCATCGCAATGATGACACGATATCGTGATTACTTCGTCTACATTGTTTTCATTCACTATGTTGACATTGTCGACATCGCAATGTTGATAATGTTGATGCGATATCGAGTTTACATCGTCTACATTGTTATCATTTCTAGATTGTATGTCGACGTCGACATCGCAATATATAGATAATGTTGATATGATATCGATTGTAGAGCTTCTACAATATTTTAATTTCTATGTCTATTTTGTCAACATCGCAATGTAAGCAATGCTTTCTTGATAATGACTTAAAGTTTACATAGTCCAACGTTGAGGTACCGACGATGTAAACAAGAAAACAGAAGGCAATCTAGATCTTGACACGATGTCGACTCGATACTGTCCAACATTGCGATGTCGACGATGTGAAAGATGTAAACCAGAAAAAAGAATGCAACATTGAAGCAATATCGACTCGATACCGTCCAACATTGCGATGTCAACGAAGTGAACGACGTAAACAAGGGAAAAAAGCATTTTTGATGAAAGAAAGCTGAACGGAAAGACATGAAACTATTTAACACGAAGAAACTTTAACAGAGGTATGTTCAGCGGCTACCTGTGCTTCTTCAGCAAGTTGCTCAGTAAAGCGGCGCTCATCTTTCATTCGATAACTCATCTTTCTGTCTAAGGTGGTTACCCTTTCTTTCATCTTGATGGCTAGGCATCTAGGAGGTTTTTCTTTAACTTTTTCTCTGTTCTATGATGGACCATATGTCTGGATAACCATGCATTTTGTTTTGGCACATCTCTTATCTATGAATTCTGCAGCAGCATAATTTGTGAACTAGTAGATAGTGATAACATATTGCGGTGTGGAATGATTTTTTCACCCGGCGAGCAATGTTTTGACGCGGTTTTGCAGATAAATTATTGTAGAAAAAAAATGGTAGGGGGCACTTAATTCTCCACCGTGTTTTCTCTGGAAGCGAAAATGACTGCAATTCCAAGAAGAAGGGCACACCATGCAATTCGGAGTTAGATGCCATTTAATTCGGAATTAGATACCTTGTGTTATTATTATACTAGCTCGTACTATGGGGTAAACTTTTATTACAGAATCAAGAGCCTGTGGAAGCAAGGTACACTGTAATTCAAAGTACATAATTCTCGATCTCGTGCTTTCAGGTTGCTAGAATGGGGATATGGGGAAGGGTCTGAGAGGGGTACCGCTACCCTGAGGAAGTTTTTTTTATAAACACGATAAATGGGTAACATTTCTGTGGGTTCTACTGAATGCATTCTAAATAAACAAAATCTGCAGAATTACTTTAAATAGATGAGTGGTGATTTTAGTTTGTTTCAAAAAATAAAGATATTTTCGTTTTTTTAAGCAGATGCTGATACCTTATCCCACCCCTTTCCAACGGTCTCGCTTTAATGAATAAGTAACCGCCACTGAAAATAGATTTTCTCTATGTTTGGTTCTGTTGTTGTCTATAGGTGTTATTGTTAGATTTATTAATCTATTTGATCAATCTTTATTTCAGATGTTTTAAATTATAAGTAAATACTTTGCTATTTATATAATCTTTAATGATCACTTAAGTAGGACAGGCAGTACCTGGAACTAATCATTATTGCCCTGGGTTCATTGTTTTCACTGGTTTGTATTTTCTAGAGTTGTATTTTATTGGTTAAGTAGTTTACCGTTTGTTCTGGACATTCCTTGTCCAGTATTTGACCAGAGAGGGTTACAAATTTAGATAGTCATAGTTTCTGACTTTTGACATACTGACAGAGACATTTCTTCTATCTTATATAAAACGTATGGAGATAACGAACAGTATTCAAGCTCAAAAGTACATTAAACAATACAAATTTTGGAGCAGAGCAAACCTCTAAAACATCAGAGGTGGGATCAGGTGCCATGGAGGAGTGAGCATCCCCTGCCGACCGGACACACCCGCCGTGTGCTCCTTGTCATGATCCGGAAATAACGGAAATCCGTCGACAATTCAGTGTGTAAATAATAGCCAAACAATTAGTATGAAAAACGTCAGTCAGCATTTGACTTAATGATAGATTGTATTTGCTGACAAGGTCATTGTATTGACCATAGAACTTACGAAATGACGACTTAAAACGAGACTGGTGATATTCTTGTTTCATCAACTTGTTTGTCAGTAACTTACCTCGTTTTAGAAATTGTTCATACGCAGAGCAAATCGAATCGATTGAGAGATATAAACCCCGTATGCAGGTGATTAAGGTAAATTGCTGCATAAGTAAGGGAAGTTGACGATTGAAAAGTTTAAGTCATCACTTTTATCATTAAGCTTGGTTGTTAGATACCATTAACGTCTTTTTCTAGTAAAATATCCAAATATGAAACAGATGTGTCAGACTCTATGGTATCTTTTATTTCAAACTCACCGGGATATATCGTATCGAATAAGAATGGAAATAACCATTGTTAATTGACAATACGTCGTCGATATATCACCGTTCACGGTAGCTCAGTCGGTAGAGCGCTCGCTCCGTGATCGGGAGGTCGTGAGTTTGAATCTCGGCCACGACAGACATAAGTCGATAAAAAATGGGTAGCAACTGTTCCATGCGCTTGGCACTTTGAAGTGAAAGTTGCGGGTCCTTCGGATGAGACCTTAAAAACCGAGGACCCGTGTCACGCAGGCCTTGGAACGATAAAGATCCCTCACTGCTCAATGGCCCTGAGTGCCGAGTAAAGGTCAAAATTTGAAGGCCTTCACCGGTATATGGTGACGTCTCTATATGAGTGAAAAATTCTCGAATGGGACGTAAAACAACATACAATCAATCAAACGTCGATATATCTAAATGTCGAGTTGAAGGCCACAGCATTTCTTCTTTTCATATTTAAGATTTTGAACAAATTTTGCTTCATATGAATACAAAAATAGGTCTGCTCATAACGGGGCGCGATTGGTACCCAGGGGAATTCCAATGGATTGTTGGAAAGCCTGGTCTCAAAAAACCGATATTGTCAATCAGAAACTCAAGCATCTTTTTAATATCAACTAATATACTAATTCTTATATGATTTTTAACTTTAAAGTCTGTAATTCTGCCAAAGTTAATACCATAGCACTTGCAAAGTAAGAATCTGATTTTAGAGACAGCATTTAAAGAAGAACTTTTATACAGCCAGTTTTTTTTTTTTATTAAATATGTAAATATTTTAATGATGATAAGTTTACTTATGTAAACTAATTCATAGTTTTATACACCGGACATATACATACATGTACTAGTATATACTCATCACTGTGTGTCATGTTCACGGTTATGAATGGGAGAGACTCAATCCCATAGATATTGTTTTTATATACATGTATTTTATGATAATCATGAAATAGTAAAGTCTTTGTAGACATTATAGTGATTAATGGATCAGTTTTGTTGTATGAATGTTTTATTTTTATTAAAACGTAATATTTGATAATTGATAATGTGTAATTCATGTACAGAGTTACCTCCCCTTATGCATCGTATCTTTATTTTAACAGCAGATCGTAATCAGGTGTGTATTGATACAGATTACATTTTTTGTATGTATTTCTTATTTGTTTTATTTTTTTCAAGGCATTCGATTCGATTCATTCAATTGGATTTCATTCAATCATTGCATGCATATTCTGATGATCAGGAAGATGTCGAACCTGACCTGACAGCAGGGACCTATACACTAATAGTCCATTGTAATCCCTAGTATATAAGTCCCTGCTGACAGGGACTTAATTTATTTCACCATCATGTGGTAGTTGTACTTAGTTTTATTTTATTTCAATTAATCCTATATATTTTATTTCAGGAATTTCATTCATTCATTCATCCATACATCTATACAAGCGCTGCGCCTGCATTACTAATATATTATTTATTTATATGTTTAAATCATAAACATCCCTATTTATATAATGGTTTAACCCAAAGACTATGGGTTAAGGTAGATATAAGAATTAGTCCATTTATAAATAAGGGTATTGTCTGTTTTCCTACATTCTATTGGTCAGTTGGTATTGTTTGGTCAAAGTTGTCCATTCAGGCGGGAAACCTTTGTTTTATTATCCCATTCAAAGATACTGTCTGAGAAGGGTGTAGCTAGAGATTTGTGATTGCTTAAAATTTAATATTTGATATTTTGGAGTATATTAAACACCCATAAACTGTAAGTAAACCTTTTATAAACACATCTAATGATCATAAACTAAAATTAAAGATAATGAATGAAAATAAAGTATTTTAATATAAACTTGCTAATGAGTATGAATGTGCTAGAGTGAAAGTTCTAAAGTTATTAAAGTTAAGATCGATATTGTAAAGTAAGAGCAAGTTATATGTTTTAATCTAATTCATGTAGATCTTTGGATTAAGATCTGGGTTTGAATTATTATGATTTTATAATTTATTAATCCATTAGGTCATCATGTAATAATTCTTTAAAGTCATCCTGATCAAGAGATAAATCACTCAGTTCCATACACTGGTATGTTAAACTCATATTTTTAAAGTTGTAAATATTTCAGTATAGAGAAATATAATTTAGATCATTAATTCAGTAAGAGTTTCAAAGAGTTATCGCCCTTTGAATGCGTTTATATAAAGTGTAAAGTAATGGCTTAAATGAATGTTTTATGTGTTTAAATTGTGATCGTTTTGTGTTGTAAAGTGAATGTGCTTGTTTATATGTTGTCTATGTATTTATATGTTGTTATTGTTATTTTAGGGTTAATTTAAAACATTTAATTCATCTTGAAATCAACTATATATCTCCACGGAATAAATACTAAGAATCCAACCCTATATACCATCTTGCAGTCATTTTTTAATTTCTACAAGAACCGGTTACAATCATAAGCCTGTTACACGTGCACACCAGTAGGAATAAACTACCGTCTTGTTACAGACTTCTTTCACTCCAGACTCCTCTCCCTAAAATCTCTGTTTCAGATTAATATATTTATGCGCAATCCGGAAATATGCACGTCATACCTTTAACTATTAATTCTTACTTCAGAAAAAATTTCGCAAGATGTCGGACGAGAAGAAAGGTAAACTAAATTATTATTTTGTGCTTTTCTCGTAATTTTTAAACAGATTTAGTTTTAAACATTTCATCTAACAATGTGACTGTTTTTAAAGAAACAATTTGTAGGAATATGTTCTGGACTCGGAAGGAAAGGACTAGGGAATACCTGTTAACCGAAGTTATTTTTAGCTGTCAAGAATGAAGATTATTTATTGTGTGTAAATCATTGGACGGGCGAGGTGTCCGTCATCTTGAAATAAACTGAAAATTGTCCATATTTTGATTCGGTGTTTCCATGCACTATTCATGTTTAATAGTTAAGGTAATTCCAACAAAAAGACAAGTAGACTCCATTTTCTTTCTCTAAAAAGTAAAATCATGCAACTTTCTATGAATGAATCAGTGAATTAATGAAAAATAAATAAATGAAATATAAAATTATTATAATATAGCCTTGCATTATTGTATTGGGCTTAATAACCCTTGCATCCAGGTCTGATAAAAGGACCCTGTTCCAATTGAAATGTTACTCTTTTTTCCCCAAAAAATTGCTAATACTGTAAACATGGTAAATACCTCACTATTCCAGTTGTCTTAATTTGTTTTTAAAATTATTCAGGAGTTTTTTTTTTATCTTTCAATTAGGAGAGGAAATGAACATATAAGCTTAGAAAATGAAAAGAAAAATATCATATGAATATTTTGTTTGTGTGTTTCAGATTATAGAAATGAAGCACCCCCACAGTATCAGCCACCCCAGGGGTATGGATACCCTCCCCAGTACCCCCCTCAGCAGGTTGCAGACCACCCAGGGTTTCCCCCTGGGGGATACACCAGCACCAACACAGTCCTTGTAAGTATCAAGTTACACAACCACCAACAGCATAGTTCTAGTATTGGAGTGACATGATATGCCTCCCTCACGATACAATATGTATGACTATCATACATAATTCTGTCACAGTATAGTTCTTTTCAATACAATACATTTTGATTGAAGGAAACAAATTTGAAGTTTTTTTTATGTTCTGTTTCACTAAAAACAGTATCAATTTACATGCAAATTGACAAGAAGAGATTGTCTGTTACTGATTATTCTACACTCTTAGTCTTCAAGAATCATGTTTTTAAAATTTAAAATCATGCTGTGAAGTGTGTTTTTAACCTAATTGAATAACGATCCTGATCAAAAAGAGAACCGAACTGAATACATACATGTATATACAGTCAAACCTTGTTATCTCGAACTCGATGGGACCATGAAAATACTTCGAGATATCCGAGGAAAAGAGATATCCAGGGTAAAATACCTAAGGAATAAGCATTTTGGACTTTCAAATCACTTTGACATATCCATTCATGATATCAATGTTCAATGTTCCAGATACCTAAGCTCAACTGTATATAATTAAAAGGTCACTTACGGGATTTTGGAGGCTGACAGATAAGGCATGTAATCTTGTGTTAATTAATGGAAAAAAAATCGTACAGGGCTGCGTTCAAGATCACAGCAGTGCTTTGTAGATCTATGTAGAAAATATGATCTTGAACAATATGCTAGCCTAGCCAAAACAAGCATCAATTCATATAATGCACTCAATACAACATAGAATAAGATGTCCAAATTAGCAGCTATGCTAGCAGCTACAATCTTGAATGAAGCCAAATATTGCTACTGCTCTAAGTAACCACTCTGTGATATACACCCAAGTTGAAATTTTACAGTCCATTCATAAAAACTGTAATACAAGTATAAATCATAGGATGTGTATACATGCAGGGCTGCTAAAAGGAACAAATAAATCCATATTGACCTGATTTTTGTATTATCTTTTGTAAACAGCAGGATTTACTGTTAACTGCAATAAAATTGATCTATGGGAGGCCCATTACTATTTATTATCTTACCACATGATATTAAAGACAAGTCTCTTTGCTCTTTCAGATTGTACAGTTTTTTAGCTCACCTCAACGGAGTTGGGGGAGCTTATGTAATACCCTCGGTGTTGGTGTCCCAGGTTAAGGTTTTTGGAGCAGTTTTCTTTTCAAGTATTTCAGACTTTCTATGGCCTATATTAGCCAGAGATGCATGAAGGATGCTTCTAGTGTGTTTCATTGTACCAGTCAAGGTTTCAGATGCTGCAATTTCAGCTAAAGAATGACCAGGTTAATGTTTTTGGAGCAGGTTAAAGTTTTGGAGCAGGTAAAAGTTTTTGGAGCAGGTCTCATTTCCAAATAACTATAAGCCCTATATTGACCAAACTTGCATGGATGATACATCTAAGGATGCACACTACTGAACTTGCTTCGGATGCTGGATCTGACTTACATTTTCCGAATGAGTGACTAGGTTAAAGTTTTTGGAGTAGATCTCATTTCCAAGTAACTATAAGCCCTATATTGTCCAAACTTGCATGGATGATACATCTAAGGATGCACACTACTGGACTTGCTTCAGATGCTGGATGTGACCTACATTTTCTGGATGAGTGACTAGGTTAAAGTTTTTGGAGTAGATCTCATTTCCAAGTAACTATAAGCCCTATATTGACTAAACTTGCATGGATGATACATCTAAGGATGCACACTACAGGACTTGCTTCAGATGCTGGCTATGACCTATATTTTTGGATGAGTGACCAGGTTAAAGTTTTTGGAGCAGATGTCATTTCCAAGTATCTATAAACCCTATATTGACCAAACTTGCATGTATGATACATCTAAGGATGCACACTACTGGACTTGCTTTGGATGCTGGATCTGACCTCCACTTTTTTGGATGAGTGACCAGGTTAAAGCTTTTGGAGCAGATGTCATTTCCAAGTAACTATAAACCCTATATTGACCAAACTTGCATGGATGATACATCTAAGGATTCACACTACTGGACTTGCTTCAGGTGCTGGATCTGACCTACATTTTCCAGATGAGTAACCAGGTTAAAGTTTTTGGAGCAGATATCATTTCCAAGTAACTATAAGGCCTATCTGAACCAAACTTGCATGGATGATCAAGGGACGAACAATCTCAAACTTGCTTCGGATGCTGGATTTGACTTACATTTTCTGGATGAGTGACTAGTTTTAAGTTTTCAGATAAGTCTATTCCCAAGTAACTGCAAGCCCTATCAGACCAAAATTGCATAAATGTTGCATCTAGGGATGCACACTCCAAGATTATTAGTTTAGTGTGGGACTTTGCCTTACTTAAAGACAACATTCGTTGAGGTGAGCTCTGTAATCTCTGATTACCTATGTTTTAGTGAGTGTTTTTGTAATGATTGTTGCTGTTGCTAATCAAAAAAATAACGGCACACCTTTTAAAAATGATAAATAAATATCAAAGGGTATTGAGTAAAGCACGTTAACGGTATCCTCGTTCTGCTTCATACATAGTTATACTGCTCAAAGATCAAAAGAGCTTATGCTTTAGTAAGATGTCTGTACATATTAAGAGTGGATGACCCCTAGAGTTTTTGAGATCACTAGATCCTAGGTCAAGGGTCAAACTACACTAGGCTTAGGAAGATGTTGTCCTTTCAATAAATTGAGAATCCTTTGCTACACAAGAACCTCTGAAGAGTTGATGACCTCTTTTGGTTTTGAGGTCACAAGGTCAAGGATCAAACTGGACATAACAAGATATTGACCTCTCAATGTCTTTGCTTGACAGACATCAATCCTGGTACAGTGGTTCTCCTTAAAGCTAAACAAGATATATATAAAAGAAATTCATCTGCCATATTCTTTTATTCAGTCGTTATATCTGCATGAGGACCTCTGTATAAGCTGTTCACTTAGTCACTGTTCAGTTTAATCATTTGTCACATGTGAAGACAGAAGTATGCTACATAGCTATTGTAAAACACTTGTTAGTGACAAAAATAACTGTTTACTTGTTCCACGTCAGGAGAGAAAAAAAACTTACAACTGCTGCACAGGTCAGTGCAGTATACAAACACAAATACACGTCAACTGCTATAAAATGTAAACAAAGATAATGCAAGATAACCAGCATGAACACCTGTCTTCCATTCCATGCCAATATCCCTGACCAATTGTTTTCACTTTCATAACAGATATCCTACATTTAAAGTTGATCCCTTTTACATATTGCCCACACAGGGGGTGTATATATTTCTCAAACATTTCTTGTTTCATCATCATGATCATGTTCATGGAAGGTTATTAATTTTTTTTGTGTTCTCACTTTGGAAATCTTATGTGTGAATAAAAAATTTATTTTTTTTTGGTTAAATCCTGGGACAAATAGATTTTATAATGTTTTATATATCCACCAGTACATGAAATATCACAAGAATTTGATGAGTTTGTGTAACATATACTTGTAGGTGGCACCAGGACCAATGACAATGAATGAACCTCCACCCCCGGACTACATGAACAGGGCAATATTTGTGACAATCTGTTGTTTCTGGCCCACTGGGATATTTGCTATTATGAAGGCCAGTGAGGTACGTGACACATTGATGCAATTACATGTAGTTGGGATGTAAAGATATATCAGTATTCCTTGATATACACAAAAATTACACTGTATGGCCAAAAAAAAAAATGTATACCTGTGTATCATGGTATATAGAACATTTCATTTTTAAGCAATTTATTTCTTTAGATTTGACCTTATAAAAGTGATTTTCTAATCATTATTTACTCCAGCTGTTTTATTCTGTTCAGAGCTTATTAAATGTTACATAATGTATTTTTGAACTTGAAATAATTTGCAACTTTTATCCAGTCACATTATAATTGAGTTTCTCCTTTAAAAACAGAGACATACAAATTATATTTAAAATATTTAAGGTGAAGTATAGTGATACATATCATGGTACAGTCCCAGTGTATCATGATATTCTGCTTAAGCCATATTGTTACACCCCTGGGGCCCGTTTTACAAAGGAATTTACGACTAAGACTAAAAACTGAAGTTGATTTTAAAATTTTGCCAAGTTAATGATTCTGTTTAGAATTGCTAGTGTAAAAATATCTTACTACATTCCTTTTAAAAAAAATTGAAACCATTTTTAATATAATATAAATTAAAAAGTTATAAGCAGAATTAAATTTTGGTCCTAGTTGTAAGTTTTTTTGTAAAATGGGCCCCTGGTAATTAGGACTTGTATAGTCATGCCTAAGTAAAGCTTACTGAAAACAGTGCTTAATCATGTTAATAGAGAAAGGGTATTATTGGTGTTAAAATTGGGGTTATAATTATTTCAGCGTTTTCAAAATTTTTTTTGACTTTCTTTTGATGTTATGCATCAATTTGGGCGTTTTTTTTTCAGTCGCGGAGTGCATATGCTAGAGGAGACATCCTGTCTGCTCGGTCTAATGCTAACTCTGCTCGTCAGCTGTCCAACATCTCCATAATGGCCGGAGTAGCCTCTGTCCTGGTGGCCATCATTATTGTGGGAGTTTATGTGGGGCTGGTCCTCAGAAGTTATTCTTAAACTGGCTCCCTGTCCCAGCTTCAAGATTGACAGCATAGTGATACATATAAATAAGGTTTCACCATAAATATTTTAAACTCAAATTCTTAAGCTGATTTTAGACATTTTGAGAAAAACTTTAATTTCAATGTAACACAGAAAAAAAAAATAATCAAAATATTTTATGTCATCTAAATATTTTATATGGGCATATTTATTCAGCTTTGCTAGTCTAGTTGCAGGGAAGTATTATTCATATATTTTAATGATTTTCTTTTTTATTCAGTTTGTGTAAATTTTTTGTTTGGGGGGTATTTAACAAATGAAAATTTCTAGTTCAGTGCTATGAAATTTTCTAGTGTCTTGCCAGTATTTTATATAATGCAGTTACAAAGTAAAAAGTTGTGATTTATCTTGAATATAAATTATCAGATAAAATTAACAATTCACTTTCAATTTTATTAATTGAGTTGATGATAAAACTGTTAAAAAAAAATTAACATCAACCTCACAGTTATGTTTGTTCTGTTATAAATTGTTATTAACAGTTAGTGATTTTGGATGGTTTACGCAATCTCTGTCATAATTGTACATATTTTACTATGATATTCGTGTATGGTTGTATTTGTTACTATTTTATTTGGTATTTATGACTATTTCTCTTGTCTATTCAAAGAAATAAACAGTATCAGAGATTGTATATTACTGTAGAAGCAGAAATTTTGTTGGGTTACTTAATACCAAAGACATATTTCATTGGATCTTGATCTTAAAGTTTCATAGTACATCTATATCTGATTGCTAATGAGTAATAAGTATTGATTATACATGTATACTATTCCAGAGAAAATTTCATCAGATATTTTATTTCATGAAATAGCAGATTTTTCCCCCACTGTTTGCATTTACAGCATTACCCAAAAGGAATGAAATAGATTTTTAAATTTAAGCATATCAATGTTTTTTTTTTCCCTAAAATTTATTTTAAATCTCAGTTCATGTATGTATCTAGACATTTTCCCCATGACTCTATGGTGTTTTACTCATGACAAACTAGAATAATTGACTTATTTGTGAAAATTCAGTATTGATATAAATGAACATATTTTATCAAAATGCTGTAAAAAAAATTGTTGATGTGTTTTTTTGGCAAAGAAAATTCATTGAGATTAATAACAAAATTGATTATATTAAGACATATTTTAGTGTCAGGTATTTATTTTCATTGTATATTACAAATTTTTTGTTATATATATACAGTGTTAATCTACTATATTATTGTTAAACATGCATACTGATGACTAATCCTTTGACACTACACATTCCTCTGTTCACACATTTATGGTGAATCTGAATATTGAATACTTGATTCAACAATAATTATGTGTAATCTTTATTTCTTTTAAAAACTATGATGTCTTATGTTGAAAAAAAATGTTATATTTGTTAAATCATTTTATAAAATTTACAGTTGACCAAGATATAAGCTCTTTTTGAAGTACATGTGTAATGTTGTAGTTGTTGTTAAAATAAACAGCCAGAAAAAAATGTTTTGTGTTAGGGTGGGCCAGTATAGGTCATGGTCAAGACAGTCCAACTCGTTAGTTGACCTATATTAAGCGGAGCGGCAATTTTGGAACACTTGTAGGACTGTCACACTATGATGTAGTAGCTCCCATTAAATACAAATAAAACATTAAATGTGACTTTTTTGGACAAAATTGATGTCTGCTTTTCCCAATTACACCCTGGTTTGTCACTGAATGATTTTGACATGACCTTGACTTTTAAGACATTAAGAATCAAAGACGGAATACGCCTTCACGATAAGTAATAATATTCACATGTTTGAAGAGTTTCAATATTAGGGCCTGGACATGATTAATTACTAGTATCTCATGGCTGTTGACTCCAAAGATCTGATAGAATAAAGATTTTGATAAGGGACGAAAACATGCTGTCCAGGGTTTGAACCAATCACAATTCAGATTTCGAGATTTATTGGCCCAACACTATCTTATAGCCCAGTGATAACTTTTGTGACCAAAAGCCAGGATCATGATGCACCTTTAGGTCATGTAAAGTGCTGAAGTTTGAATGTGTTGAAATTTTAAAAGGGTTTTACGTTATCGTCCAGAAAACATTTCAAATTCTGTTTGACAGAGACAACTGTACCAAAACCAATATGTTCATATCCTGTTGCTGGAGACAATAATGATTATATTCTGTTACCAAGAGGAAATGGGTGGATAAGTAAGCGATAAATACACTTTAAACACTTGAACTTAAATTGATCCTTGCGTATATATCCGTGACGTGTATAGTATACACGTATCATTTTCACATAAGTTTAGTAGTTTGTTAAACAGAGTTCAGATTCGTCATTGGGCTAGATAGGAAATTTAAAGCCTGTAATATCACGACAAACATGACCGTCTAATAACTTTTTGTATTTTCTCTCTTGGGGGATAAATTTACTGATAGCAACACTATTATATAAAATAATCTCGTTACATCCAAGACATTACTTTTAATCATAGATCGAATTAAGCTTGGAATAGTCGAAATTTTATTCGGCATACATTTCTGTTTTCCATGTAATACAGGACCCTTTGTCATAATGATAGAATCCAGGCATTGAAGTTAGGGGGGTGCAGAAAGTAGGCAGGGGTTTGGGGGCCGCCTTGGCGATTCGGGGGGGGGGGGAGCCCCCGGAAACTCCTGGATTCTCGAGATTTTGTAGGGTAAAAATGAGGTCTACCGAGTAGAATATTTTTTACATATTCTCGACGAAACTATGTTTTACGGTAACTTTGACAATTTTAGGGGGGGGGGGGGGAGGGTGCGCCTCCTTAAATCCGCCACTGGAATCAATCCAATGTCACTGCAAACATAGCGGTGTAGTAAACATGCAGCGCATAAACATGTATGATGTGAACAAAGACACAATTTACCATTAAAAGTTTTCTCTTTTTTTAACATTTCGTAAAACAAATGAATGGCTAAAAATAGGACGTATCAATACATTGATTGATTGATTGTATGCTGATTTACGTCCCATTCGAGAATTTTTCACTCCTATTTAGAGACGTCACCAAATACCGGTTAAGGGCTTCAAATTTAGATCGTTACTCGGCACTCAGGGCAATAAGGGTTTTTTAACGTGCCTTAATACTTGCCGTGACACGGTTTTTAAGGTCCCATCCGAAAGACCCGCAACTTTCACTTCAAGTTGCCAAGTGCTTGGCGAAAGAATAATTGCTATCCATTTTGGTCAGTCGCGGTCGGGGTTTGAACCGACCTTCCGATCATAGAGCGAGCACTCTACCGACTGAGCTACTGTGACGGTTGTATCAGTATATTGATATACATTAAAATCCTACTGATTTTTTTTGCAATGAAATTCAACTTTGATATCTCGACATTTTGATCTCGTCGTTTAAACCTTTCTATCCCACATTCACCGATCACTATTTATGGCTCGTGAGAGGAAACTGATGTATCACTTTCTTTATTCTATTTACAGTCTCTTATGGATCCGGTCCCTTTTTCATTTTCAAAATTTTTACATTGAGGATAAGATCTCCCTGGAGGCATTTTCTTAGTAATGGATGAATGACAAGCTTTATAGGAGCAAAGTACATAACTTAGATCTACAGAATTGTGTGTACTAAGAAATCCGAAAGATGTTCGAGCTTTGTCCGTAACCATTACATTATATATCCGATCTGCTGACATTCAAACCAATCTAAGTTTGGAAAATATAATTTTTAAAAACTTTCATATAGGATACCGAGTTTAATGGTCTCCAAGACAAGGGTATAACATCGCTGGAGGATGAAAACATGATAATTTCTATGTTCTAGATATAGCTTGTGTCATAAAGTATTTTTTAGTATAAGAGGGTTTTTATGTGATGCAGTCAGGGTCTTGTGAATTGCAGACTTTTCTATCTAGTGTTGCGAACAGAATAACATATATGTATATGAAATTGGTGTTATATAACTCCACGGCTTTATTTATACCTCGGAGTTATCTGCTAATGTGTAGGTTAGTGAGAAGTCACAGATTTAACCTGAGGCGCACAGTCTGGGTAGGCAATGAGAAGGTTGCCCCCTCTCAATAGGGATTCGGGGGAAGTGTTTCGTTGGGAGCTTTTTTGCAAACTCAAAGACATCTACGATTGTCATCTACAATTTGACTAGTAAAAATAATATTGTAGACATTCCCCCCCCCCCCCCCCCCCCCAGTTTATATCATAATATGAAGACTACTTAACAAACGTGAAGACTTTTAACTTATTTTTTACTCTGCTTAGAAAATTTGGAAACTTCCTTACTGAATAATCTAAATACGATCAATACATTTAATTTCCTACAAACCAAATATATATTTCCAGTAATATTAATTTTATTTCCTGCACTAATCATGGTCTCCTATTACTGTCGATGGTTTTTAAAATGTCTGTAAAGACTTAAAATATAACACTTGAGTTTTGGATTAAAACAAATCCAGCTATTAATAGGAGGTTTGTCATTAAAAATATAGTAAAACTGTCAACGTTGGATATAGGTATAAGAGTACGGATTGCTAAGAATGCTTTTTTGGCATTTGCAACAAAGTAAGATTAATAGATAAGAATTATAATATCATAAAATATTAAAATATTTTGGATGTTTATGCGCTATATTGTAGGTCATTTGGTATACTAAGTGCGCTATACCTCTTTGAGAACCTTATGTCCACCACAGATAAGGTACCATTGTAGAGTAATAAACAAACAAGGACAACTATAATAGTTGATTCTGGTATCACATAAAACATTATTAAAATATTTTCACACATAGATGACAAATTTACATGACATATCTAAATTCCAGTTTTACGTAACTATCCCGGACTTTTGACATGTATATATGTACTAAAATTTGAAATTAATACATGCAGATATAAAAAATGAACAAGTTGGAATATTGCACTTATGAATCAATTACATACATAAAATAGATATCCTATTTGACATATAAGCATGCCCCCCCCCCCCCCCCGGAGTCGGCAGAGTTATATACATGTAGTGTATTAACTACAAAAAATAAAAATGACTTTGACACCCATCCCCCCTCCCCTAGAAAAAGTGGACCCCTGTTGTTAAATATTTTTTTCACGTTCGGGTTTTTTTTTTGAGTCGAGGAAGAACTGGGTACGTTAAGTATAACAGAGCGGCCCTGTCTCCAAATTTGATTTCACTTTTTTACAAACATGCCTACGATGTGTCCTTTCAAAATCGTTTTATTTTTTTTAATTATCACAAACCGTTTTTCCGTCAGAGGTCTCGAAAAATGGGGAGTTTTCTTTAGAAATTACAAATTTTGACGTGATAACGTCATCACGGCGTTACTGATTTATAACGTTACGTTAAAAGAAATCTGTAAATTCTCTGAACCGGAAACTATTTACTTTAACCTGCCTTATGTTCCAGAAAACAATTTTGAACTTTTATTTCAATTCATCGTAATGTATCTTTGATAGCTGGAAGGAGTATAATAATTTAAAGGAAAATATAATTTTATTACAAACGATTTCATCAGACAAGTAATGAAGCTTGATTCATCCATACAGACGAGACAAAGTAGTACTTCTTTTAAAAATGTGCTCGTATCAAATTTATCATTTTTTATGTAAAAATGTCCTAACGATTTCTTCAATCATTTTCCGCATTGTCTATGAAGTTACATTAAAATTTTTAAAGATACATGAATCAGTATTAGAAAGAAAATTGGAACGTCCCATATAAAGTTGTCAAAATTGGATTTTTGGCAATGAAAAAGCCATCAAACCACTCCCCTTTTCCATTCCAACAAATAGCAGCGCTATTAATTTCGTATTTTTTTTTTTATTTTTTTTTTATAAACGTATAAATTACTATTACGGGGTTACGAGGTGTCTTAAACTGCGTTAAAAATTTTTTCTCTGATGTTAGGATTTCTTTTATAGATCGTTATTTATTCATTCCAGTGGATCCGCTTTACTGCATGGTTCATGTAAAATACCCTAACCAGGAACAATCCCCAATATACTTACACACAATCACTTTCTATGTTAAAACCACAAGAGGAGACCGGTTATAAGAGTCCTGATTGATGAGGTCATTCCAAGTTTTTTCTTTGTTTAGCGTCCATTCTAACTTATCTTCCTATCCGAGAAAACACACGAACCAAAAGGGGAAAAACGCAGCATTTTCAGAACAGTTCTAGAATTTCTTATTCTCATTTGAGACCTCTCCTCGCCATAAAACTTGTAGTTAAACTACTAGTTTATTGAAATAAAAAAAATAATACACCACTTAAAAAGAGGGATGGCAATCCTAGAAGAGTAAAATGCATTTCAGAGATTCGTATTTGTTGACTTTAATTTGAGTTAACTTTGTGTTTGCGTTTCAAAGCTTTGTATTTATCAATTTTAATTTGTGTTTGTTTTTAATTTCATAACCTCAAAACCAATTCGTCCGCGTACACTGCACATAGAAAAAAAAAAAACTTGGAATGGCCTT